GGGGAGGGAGGGACAGAAAGGGGAGAAGGGGACCAGTGAAATGGCCAGATGGCTTAGTGGATAAAATATTTGCTCAGCAAGCCTGACAACCTGACTGTGATTTAATAGAAACCACATTAACAAACAAACCTGGACATTTGAATGCAGCAGACACACGGGCAACCCCAGCATTCCAAGGCAAGATGGGTGGTGGAGACCAGAACCACCTGTGGAATCCTGCAGGCTAGCTGGTCTGGAGTGTACAATGCTGCAACCAGAAGAACAACAAAGACTGTCTCAAAACAAGGCCGAAGAATTGATCCTCAAAACGCATGTGCCTACATTCACATGTATGTGGACACACACACACATATATACATATATGTATGTATGTATATATGTATATAGCTATACATATATATGTGTGTATATATATATATATACACACATACACACATACACACCAGGTAAAAATAAGGAAATAGGACATTGATTATTCTCTGAACAGAAAGAAATGAAATGGAACTGAGGAGAATACTAGGCTTCAACTCACTCTGTGATGTTTCTTTCTTAAGATCCTGGTATATGAATTTAAAAGCCAACACTCAAACCTCAAATCAAAAGAATCAACTTTAGGGTTAGAGAGATGGCTCAGCAGTTAAGAGTATGACTGCTCTAGCAGAGTACCTGAGTTGAGTTCCCAGCACCCACACTGGGCAGCTACCTGTAATTCCAGTCTAGGGATCTGATTCTGGCTTACATTCTTGTACACTCACATACACACAACCCACACATACAAGCACATAATTAAAAATAAAATCTTAACGAAGTAACCAACTATGAGGTAAGCCTAGTAGCACATATTTGGTAATCCCAACATTTGTGATGCTGATGCAGGAGAATCCAAGTCTGAGGCCAGCTTGGGTTGCAAAGAGAGATTTTGCCTCAAAAAACCAAAAGAATCTTCTCGATAATCTTACATGTTTTATTTTCATGCCATGCTCAAATAACATCGCCTTTAAATAGTAATTTAAATCCTCTTGTACATCTTCTCTTACTCTCCAAAGCCAAAACTGTATCTACACTTTTATCCCTGTGGATGACTAGCGAGTAGGTAACTTTGGGTATCTAGGTGTGAATGCATGACAGCGCATCAGGTTGAGTCTTCAAAGGGGTGCGGCTCCCACACCTGATGCCTTGGGGGAATAATTCCTCTAGCACCTACACACAGCTGCATAGCCTAAGCCAGGCACACCTTACCACAGTCACACATATTCTACCACCTCCTCCAGCCAGAAACCTTTTCTCTTTACTTTTGAGATGAAGTTTTATACTCCAGCCAAGGTTGGTCTGGAACTTACTATATATATATATATAAAATCCAGGCCTGGAACTCACAGTAAACCTCCTGCTTCAGTTTCCCAAATGCTGGGATTACAGGCATGAGCTACCATACCTGGCTTTAAACTGGACATCATTTACAAATAATTTTACCAGTGACCATTGAAGAGCAGGAATTCTACCTACGATTAGATTTTACCATTAAAAATATAGGCCAGGTGTATGGCACACACCTTTAATCCCAGTGCTTGGGAGGCAGAGGCAGGTGGATCTCTGTAAATTCCAAGGACAGCCAGGGCTACACAGAGAAATCTTGTCTTAAAAAACAAAACCAACTAACTAAACAAATCCTAACAATTTCTGATACTGTGTAACAGGAGATGCCAGACTTACCCTGTCAGCCATGTACATAGGTGGCCCTTGATACCTCAGAGCAAAATCCTGGTTAACCCACAAGTATTACAGGAGATGTAGGTGCAGAGAGAAACAAACACCACACATCCAAAACAAAGAAAAGAGTGTGCATCATCCCACAACCAGGTCTGACATCAACTCCCTTCTTCCAGACCCTTCCACAGCAATGAAATACTTTTTAGAGTAGCAGAAACAAGATGCTTTTGTAGTTTTCTCTGACAACGGATGTGGCATGTGACTTGAATAGGTCAGTGGCAAAGCAGGTGTGAGGAACTCTGAGAACGAGCAAACTTGGGGTGCTGGGAATGTGAGCCTCACTTTACGCCCGTGAGTTCTCACTGTGTGCAGGTGAGCCATTCAGAAGCTGCCTTGCTGTTGTGGCATATTATTTTAACTGGGAAAAGATGTGTTACATTTGTTTGTGCTGCTGAATATTACTTTAACTGTGTAAAGGTGTGCTGCATTTATTTAATGATGCAAGAATGAGTGTTTAATTATGTAAAGATGTGTGCATTTGTCTAAGGCACCTGTTTGGTCTCCTAAAGAGCTGAACAGGCCTGCAGGTGGTAGGGCACGCCTTTAATCCCAGCATTCAGGAGGCAGAGACAGGTGGATCTCTGTGAGTTGGAGGCCATCCTGGTTTACAGAGCTAATTGCAGGACAGGCTCCAAAGTTACAAAGAAACCCTATCTTAGAAAAGCAAAACAAAAACAAAATAAGAGCTGAATGGTCAATAGCTAGGTAGAAGAGGGACAGGAGATGCTGGTGAGCAGGGAGAATAAATAGGAGGAGAAATCGTAGAAGGGAGGAGAGAACAAGGAAGACACTTGGGGCCAGCTAGGCAACCAGTTAGCCAGCCAGCAGACACGTGAAGCAGTAAAGGTCAGATATACAGAAAGGGGGAAAAACTAAAAAGGCCTGAGGGGAAAAGGTAGATAAAGAGAAATAGGTTAATTTAAAAGATCTAGATTGAGCATTCAAAACTAATAAGTCCATGTCATGATTTGAGAACTGAGAGCTGGTTGGTGGCCCAAAAGAAAAAGCCTGGCACCGGCACCACTCACTCTGGCTTGCTTTTTTTTTTTTTTTTGAGGCAGAGTCTCCAGCCTGACCTTGAACTCTCATCTTCTTGCCAAGTGCTGGCTTACTGGAACTGGCTGATTTCTGTGTGTCACGTTACTCTCATCTTCCAGGGCATTGTGAAAAAGTTCTACCTTAAACCTCAGGTTACACTTCCTAGTCAGGTGTAACATTTTCCAGAAGAGAAAGATGAAATACCATAAACTTGGCTTCCATTGTGCCTCCTTCCCCCCCACCACACGCATGCCCAGGATCCTATTTCTTGACCTAATATGACAATTTGAAGGGAAGGAAACTTAAAAGTTCCCTTTCTGACATCAGTAAAACCTGCTTACAGTTAAAAAGACACCTCTTCCTTACTACTTGGTGTGCTTCTCCAGACAAATGCACAGCTGGACATCTCAGACCTCATGTTCTACTGTGGACTCACACAAGACTCACCTTCACACATGAGGGCCACCAGTCATCCAATAAGCATCTACTGAATGCCTGACTATGTTCAGGGCCAGTTACACATGACGACAACGAGATCAACTCAGTATGATGTGGCTGTGACAGTTGCCAGACTGGGAGTCAGGAATCCTGCCAATTATTTGACTTGTGGGTGGGGAACCCAACTTCCTTGTTCCAGGGACCCAGTCTCCATATGCACATGTAGAGATTAGCCTGGGCCTTAGGTTTCTTCCAATTAGAACTGTGGTGAAGTCTAAACAGGGTCATGAATTCCCTCATTCCTCCATCTGGAAGCAGCTAGAGAGACTGAGCAGATACACCCTAAACTGTGACATCTCTGCAAGGGCCCAGCTTGGTTCACCTGGATGTGTGGGCATCTTCCCCCCCCCCCCCGCATGGCCAAAGGGGCCATCCACGTGTCCCAAACTTTTCCTGCCTCAGGGCCTTCACACATGCTAGACTTGCTGCCTGAGCTTCCTACAGGAATAGTGATAGGTTGGTCTGTTGATCCCTTCTTCAGATCTCCTCAGCTGCTACCGACTTCTGGAAGGTCACCTCTTACAATTCTTTCTACATAAATTCTTTGTCACTATGTTCTTATTTTGGTACCACTGGTTTTGTGGGTTCCTGGGGTATATAATACTTTGTCTGTTCGGTGTCTGTTAGGGTCCTGTCAGCTATATGTAGGTGGAGTGTTCTGTTTTATTCAGAACTGTACACTCAACTAGGTATGGTAGTTTGTGTCTGCAATCCCAGCATTTCAGAGGTTGCCATAGGAGGATTGCTGTGAGGCCAGCCTGGTCTACAAGAGCTAGTTCCAGGACAGGCTCGAAAGCTACACAGAGAAACCCTGACTCAAAACCACCCCCCACCCCACAAAAAACTGAAAAGATAGAATTGTGGGACTGGAGAGATGGGTCAGCAGGGAGTGGGACGCCATCTTCAGGCCTCAGAGGGCACTGCACTCACAGGACACACACACACACACACACACACACACACTTTTTTTTTTTTTTTTAATTCTATACTCAGTGCCAAATACTGTACTAAATTCCAAGGGAGCGATGACATCTGGGCATGTTTTCCACCCAGTATCTTCCTTCAGGGCTCTGGGATTCAGTCACAGCTCAGAGGCCCTAGTGATTTCTTCTTACTAATTGCTTTTTGTTTGTTTTTATCTTTTTGTTTTTGAAGCAGCGTTCTATGTGCCAAGCTGCAAAGCCCTGAATACAAGGGGTGTATTAATGGAAAGACTGATACCATCTTACTACTGTGGCCTCTCTCTAGAGGCAGACAATGATCTGTTGAGGGTTTTCCAGGAATTCTGAATGTACAACCTTCTTACAAGCCCCCTTGGAAAGGGGCTGGCTGGATGCTGAACAATCCCTCTTCGGAACTCTCTGCAGACCTCCCTGGCCTCGAACTCACAAGCGCACGGATTGAAGGCGAGAGCCACCAAGCCCAGCCTGCCTGCTCTTTGAGTCCTTGCTTTTTTTTTTTTTCCCTTGTGTGTGTGTGTGTGTGGGGGGTGCTCTTATGACCTCACGACATACTCACCCTCACCGCAGTGACATCATGACCGTGTGGATACCGTCACTGTGCCCACAACGTCCCCTCTAGCTTCTCCTCAGAAGCCTCCGACCCGGGCGGCGCTCTCGCGCGCCGATGACGTCACACCCAGCGCTGGCGTCACGTGCCCCCCCCGTGAAGGGGTGGGGCTTGAGGGCGGCGCTTCCGGTCGGTGGAGCCTGGCGGCCCGAGTGGCGGCGGCGGCGGCGGCGGGCGGCCGAGTGGCGGGATGGCGGGCGCCGCGAGCGAGTCGCGCTTCGCGGGGCTGTCGCTAATGCAGCTGCACGAACTGCTGGAGGACGACGCGCAGCTCGGCGAGATGGTGCGGGGCATGGAGGAGGTGAGCGCCTTGGGACCGGGCGAGGGGGGTGCTGGGACGGCGCGCTGGCAGCTGGAGTGGGGCCCTGAGGCGAGGATGGGGGCACCGAGGGCCCCAGGCCGGCTCGAGACTGGGATCAGATCCTGGAACCGGGACATGGGGGTTTTTGGGGCCGGGGCTGGCGCCGCGAGAGGGAATGAGGGCGCTGAGATTGGGTTGGTAGCTGGGGTGGGGGGTACTGCAGCTGAGTCTTCCAAGGACTCTAGGGGACCAGGGCAGGTAGAGGAGGCACGGATTTGGAAACGCTTCGGGAGGAAAGTCGTAGGGGCACTGGAGCCAGTTCATGCGGGTCAGATCTGGGACCTAGCTGGAACTGACCGGTGTTCCTAGATGGGCGTGTGGGTAGCAGCGATTTGTATAGCTGAGTCTAGGATGGGGTTCTGAGAGGGTCCTCGAAGTTCAGAGGCTCCAGGCCACAGACAGCCAGGGTGAAGTGGGGAGGGGCCCAGTGGCTGTCGGCTCCCCAAGTGCCCCTTGCCGTGCAAGAGGCCCTAGCAGAGTTGGCTCAAGAGTTCCTTCCTTCGCTTGTTCTGTGAACGGTCTGTGGATAGCAAGAAGATCCCTTTCCCCAGGCATGTATGGAAAGAAAGGGCGGAGGGAATTCTAGCACGGCTGGTTGTGCCCCCACAGTTGTCTGCCCACCTCTTTGGGTTCCTGAAATTGCTTCTGGCAACAGTAAATGGGGGCTGGGAGCTGACTGCTACCCCCCCCACCCCCATAGTCCAGGGCCTGCCCAGCCTCTGGAAGGCATGCGCCCGCCCATGTTACTGGTTATCTTCCTCCACACCTCGCCTGTGGTTTGCTCTGAGGAGTGAGGGACTTCACCCTTGTGGTACTTCCCTTTTCCCTCCTCTCCCACCTGGTCTTCCCAGCCCCTGCTGAGGCTGGGGCTGTCCGATCGGCTCTCCCTGGCCCACCTACCTCCTTTGTCTGGGAAGTCTGAGCTTTCCTATACCCGCAGTGCCTAGTTTCTCCTCCTGCCAGAAGCTGGTGTAAGGGGCTTTTGGCTGGCGTTCCGAAGAGGGATTGTTCAGCATCCAGCCAGCCCCCTTCCAAGGGGGCTTGTAAGAAGGTTGTACATTCAGAATCCCTGGAAAACCCTCAACAGATCATTGTCTGCCTCTACAGAGAGGCCACTGTAGTAAGATGGTATCAGTCTTTCCATTAATACACTCCTTGTATTCAGGGCTTTGCAGCTTGGCACATAGAACGCTGCTCTGAGATACAGTTTACCCAGTTTGTGGCACCCATGTGGCACTTTCCATTTCAGAGAGAATAAGAGACAAAAGTCTGTTTCTGGACTGAATGAGAATTCCGTGTCCGCCCAAGAAAGGACAATCCTTGCTTCGCTTCTCAATGGTTTCTGGAAGGCGTTTTGTTGGCTGTCGTCTGAGTGTCTTCTAGTTTAATAATAAAATGATAGGCATGCCTGTCAGTATGTGGCCCTGCCTGCAAGCTGCTACTTTGCTGTATGTGACTATTCTGCCTATTTCAGTGAGGACAGCTACTGTAGGTGGAACGTGTAATAAAATAAACTGTATTTAGCAGGGATTGGGTGAGTCAAATAGCCCGCTGCTGGGTGACTGCAGCCTCACTTGCACGCTCTCCCTAAAAACCTGGAGATTGTGTTTTCTAAGACAGGGTTTCTCTGTGTAACTGCTCTGGTTGTCCTGGAACTTGTAGACCAGGCTTCTGCTTCTGCGTGGGATTAAAGGCATGCACCACCTCACCTTCACCGCCCCCCCCCCCAGCTAAAACCTGGAGATTGTTAGAGGAGGAGAGAGGCAAATTAATCTAGAAGAATTTAATTTTTTTTTTTTTTTGAGTAAAAGTGTCCTTCTAATCATAGTACCAAATGGAAATACTTAGGAGGTGGACCCCACCTGTGTAGAGGCCCAACAGACCCCACCTGTGTAGACCACATAGTTAATGAAGTTACTCAGCAGTAGTTTGGTTTTGAAGATGTCATGCTTTTAAAAAAAGGAAACAACTCGAAAACCAAAATATCTGCTTGCAAACCCTAGTTGTTTCCCTCACTTGGCAATGCCATGAATTTATTTATTTTGGAATGGTTTCAAGAGACTATTCTGTGAACCATCCAGTTCTGACCAAATGAAGTATTTATGAGGAAGTGTTAATGGAGTATTTATGATAAAAAGTATTAAACACTCCAAATGGAGTATTTATGATAAAGTGTTACGGAGCATTTGGGTTTGGAATCGTAGACTTGGCTGCTTTTGTGCTGTGTGATTGTAGGCAGGTCGCTGCACCTCTCTGAACAGCTCGTGGAAAGGACAGTATGATAAGGGTCAGGTGAGTTGGTGAGTTTTAAACACCTAACACGGTTTACGGTTAGTGTTTAGCATTCAGTAAAGAGTAGTTGCTGGAACCGGAATGATAGCTGTTGGTAAGGCGCCTGCCATGGACATATGAAGACCTTCATTCAATCCCCAGAGCCCTTGTAAAAAGCCAGGAATTCTGACACACACTTCTTATCCATTTGGATCCCCAGGATAGGGAGACAGGATTCCTGGGGCATGTTAGCCAGCCAGTCTAGCGGAATGGGTGAACTGCAGGCCTATGAGAGACATTGTCTCATATAACAAGGTTGACTGCACCGTTGGAGGCAGGGTCCACCCGCGGTGGAACACCCAAGGTTTTCCTCTGGCCTCCACACTCTTGTATGCATGTTGCCCTGTGTACCTGTGCACATATGTGCATGTGTACACAGAGTAAGCACCTGGGGTTCTCTTTTTGAAAGACTAATTGATGTCACCTCAACAGAAGAATAGGCTCTCATTAAAAAAAAAAAAAAAAAAAAAAAATTAAATTTGGACTTGCCCTTAGCCTAGAAAACATTTTACCTACTCAATGAAAAGGTTGTGTGACTCAGTGGCTCTAGGAAGCATGGGGAGTGGGCTGGGCCTTTCTTGGCGCAGAATCTCATAGGCTGAAATGAGACTTTCTCTAACTGGCAGAAGGAAGTGTTTTAAATTGTAGAGTGAGGCTTCACCCAGCCTGAGGGGATATTTTGTGGCTGCTATGAAGTGTGGTTTGTTGGAGGCACTTTAGGCTTAACTGCAGTGGGCATTGTGTTCGCTTACACTATTTTAATTGCAGTGTGTGAGTTTTAGGACAGCTTGGGACGTTAAAAATGATGTCGGGTTGTAGGCACTCTGGGGCCCTGTGTTCTCTCTTTTCCTGTCTCTTGTCCATTATGCTACTCCCTAAATGCAGACAGACATCATTAGTGGGGTCTTTTCATCTTTTTTGGGGGGGAATTATATTTGTATAGGTGAGACAGGGTCACCCTACATAGCCCTGACTGTTGTGGAACTCGCTCTGTAGACCAGGCAGGCCCCGCCTGCCTCTGCCTCCCAAGTGCTGGGATCACAGGTGGGTGCTGATGCACAGCTGGGGGTCAGAACAACTGAGGAGTACATTCTTTCCTCCCTCCAGGGGGTGGAGGGCTTGACCTCAGGCTAGTGCAACAAGGGCCTTCACCACCTAAACCAGTGGTTCTCAACCTCTGGAGGTGAAATGATCCTTCCACAGGAGTTGTGGCTAAGGCCATGGGAAAACAGACATTTACATTGCAATTCATAACAGTGGCACAGTTATGGACTAGCAGTGAAAATAATTTTATGGTTGGGAGTCACCACCACAGGAAATGTATTAAAGGGTCACAGGGTTCGGAAGGTTGAGAACCACTGCCCTAAACCGTCTTCTTACTGGCTGCCTTTCTGTCTTTAACTTATTTTTACACGGCAATGGAATGTGCCTTTATCTGTCCACATGAACCCGGTTGACTGGCAAGGCACTCCCATAAAAGGAACGGTTGCTTGGGGGATTAGGCAAGCACACCGGACCTCTTGGGTCACTTCTCCCCATGTCTTCTAAGGAAATGCACACACAGCCGATTCAAGTCCCTCAGCTTTGTCCCTGTGAGAATGAAAATACTAGGCGACTGAAAAGACAGTGTTCTGTGGAAAGTAAAGGAGTCTGGTCTGGAAGAAGCTGCTTCCGTCAGGCCTGATGGGCTGTGATTTGTGTGTAACAGCAGCTACTGCCTCAGTCATAATGGCTCATTGAAATGGAACGTTCACCCGGGACGCCTTCGGAACACACAGGCTGAATCACTCACTGCCCGTGGGACTTGGGTTTTTAGAAACCAAGATTTGAACTTGCTGAGGTTATTCAGTGGGGTCTCTCTCTCTGTAGCCCTGGCTGTCCTGGGGGCTGGGATTAAAGGTTTTGGGCCATCATGCCTGGCTTTTTTCTCTTTTAAATAGTAGTAGTACAGTTTTATGGGAAGATGATAGGTAAGAGTCACATGGCTGGGTGACTGCCTTTAAATTACAGTCTGTGATTGAGTTTTCTCCACCATTAGGGAGAGTGGTGGTGCCTGCCGTTAGAGTTTTGTGTGACCCGGAGGGAGTGTCGCCTAGAGGCCACCTCCTCTTTCTTAGAGCTTTTCTGAATTGGTAGATTGAAGCAGGTGGATTATCACAAATTTGAGACCTGACTGAGCTCCAGTGTGGGGAGACTGTCCCTAAAAAAGAGAGGGAGAGAGAGAGCAGGGTCCAAGCTAGGCCAGCTCCACTGCCTCTTGCCACCTGAGCATCTACTTCCCTGTAGAGCTCTCCCCGCTCCCTCAGCTACAGACATGACCCTTGTCCCTCGGCTTCTCCGTTTGTGTCATTCGATACCCTTTGTATAAGCTGGCCACTTCCCTGTGGCCCTGGTCCACGCTGGCATCAACATTTTGCCAGTGATGGAGCGTCCCATCAGCACCACTGGGGGCAGTGGCTTGGCTTCAAGTGGGTTGAGTGTGGAGGAGGGGCTCCTGTAGGTGGAAAGGGAATGTGGGTTCCAGCAGGGCACCTCCAGGACAGGACGAAGTGTGTGTGTGGCTCTGGAGCTTCCCAGAACCGGCTCCATGGGGTTCTGACTTCCGCCTT